TTTTTCCGACGCAGGGAGCTCGAGCGGTTCAGGGACGGCTGAGGTGCGTTTATTTACCCGGCGCCTTTGTGCCACCCTGGTATATGTAAGGCTTCAGATTTCGTTGAGCTCGACTGTCGAGAATTTTTGTAAAGCGATTCCCAGCCACGACTGGTGATCCTGCCCGCGGCATCGAATGTTTGGCTCCTACAGGGTGGTCCTGGGTATTCTTCTAGCACATGTTCGAGTGAACGTGTACACGATGGATCACCGCGGCACTGGGCGCAGTACTCGCTTAGATTGTGCTGCCATGCAGGCTTCTGCTTCCGGGGTTTCTCCCGGTGACCATATGAGTCCGACAAAAGTTGCTGCGTGCGCAAAGGAGCTACATTCCATGTACGGAGATTTGTCATCGTTTTCAATGACCAGTGCTGCCACCGATGTTGCCACTTTCATCTCCGAACATACGAACGGTGAAAACACTACGGTGTACGGAGTGAGTTATGAAACAGCTTTGGTGGAGCGACTCATGCATTTGGACACTCCGACGATGACCGGATATGTTCTTGATAGCATTGCTACGACATCGGGAGCGTCGGCGGGTCGGTTTCCTTACATATCGTTGTGGGACACAGATTACGGGGAGGTGGGGAGCGCTTTTCTCGACTTATGTGAGCAACACAAAGAGTGCAGACGGCACTTTAAAGCCTAAAACTCTGTCTTCGACAATACAACAAGTGATCAAAGATGTTGACAGGGATCCCGATTCTTCGTGGTCGCAGCTACTTCTATCCATGACAGAGGGGAACGGTTCCCAGTCCAACGAGCCTCCGTCATTTTCGCTCCGTCGAATTCTCGGATTGCTAGTGGTAGATTCCAGCATGCGAACTCTTATCCACGTTGTCGCTTACAGACTTCAGCGGTGTGCGACAGAAGATGCTAAAGTACTGACTCAACTCACTGCGGCTCTCAATACCAACATAAACACGAGAACCCAAGACGATACCTTCAAATCGATGTTGCTGTACCAGGGATCGAAAAAAAATAACTTTTTGGGCAATAATACGTACAATAGTGGGGACAACATTTATTATTGGAGCAAATGGCAAAAAATAAATACAAAAATTGTGCAATAATACCCAATACAATACCTTAAAAGACTAGGTAAGAAGATATAGAGAAACAAAGTCAAAGAACTGGTGTCTACGTGGGCCAACTATTGTGTATTCTCGCTCTTTCCGACTGCGACTTTGTTTTCAAACCCTTCTCAATCTCACTTCGCTATTTACTAGCATTTCCACAACTCAAGACCAGCAACTTTCCCTTTTGCAACCCTCCAGCATCACTATGCCCACAAGTGCTGACATCTGTGCTTTCTTCTTCGAAGCGGGAGCCGACTATCGCTACACGTGCAAGATCTGTAACGGAGCTCGCAAGCAGGCCCTACTCCAACCTGCTTGGCACCAGACACCCCGGTTACTTTACTGAGATGGCTACATCTCGCCGTGCGGAGAACGGAACGATGGAGTCCTTTGGCTTCGTCTCAGAGGCGGTGGACCATTTGTACAGATGGCTACGCTAGTTTGTGGTGCGTAACTTGCCTCTCTGCGAGGTGGATGACCTGCTCACGCGTGAGATGCCGCGCCTGCGATCTACAAGTTCAAAGACACTGAAGGAAACGATGCATCTTGCTGCCGCCAAAGTCGGCTTGATACTCGAGGAGGGGATGGGCGATGCATTTGACATCATTTTCGATGGGTGGACGCATGGCCCTACGCATTTTGTCGCATTGTTCTGCGTCTACACACACGGTGGCACATTCCGTCGCCGATTGCCATCGATTTCGCCAGTCGTTGAGGAGACGCATATGCCCAATATATTCATTGTATTGCAAAGTTATTATTATTGTTTCGTGTTGTATTGCAGTCGCTATTACGCAGGTGATCGTTCTTCCGTAAAATAAAACATTTTTTTTCCCGATCCCTGTGCTGTACTATCTCAGGGAAACACCCGCGCTTTCAAGGCCAATGATGGAAAAACGATTTAGAGCCGTGGAAGTCTCCGATGGTGGGTTCTACGAAGTGGATTACGGCGGAATCTACAAATTGAGTCCACTGTACTGTGCTTTTTCCAAAGAGCCCTCTCCCGTTTGCAACGAAATCAAATCGGAAAGGTACCCTTCAAAAGGTATCATATATGAGCGCGACGAATACTGGAACAAAAGTGCGGTAATTCCAAAACAAGCGAGTGTGTTGCTTCTAAGTGGCAAGTTGGACCCACAGACACCGCACAAGCATGCCGAGTACCTATTCGAAGTGCTGGAAGGTGACAACAAGGAGCTTACTACTTTTGACTACGCTACGCATGGGATCATTGTATCCACTCAACTTGTGGAGGAGGATCCGTCAAGCGAGACTTGTGGAATGAGGTTACTTGCATCATATGTGAAAAATGGCGGAGATCTAGCCCGTCTTGACAAGACTTGTGTGGGTGAGATGCCGAGATTCAACTGGAAGATTTCGACTGATTATATGTACGGTATCTTGGGCACTGACGAGCCGTACGACGGTGCGTATAACGAGATCTTGTCTACCGGTACCGACAATTCGAGTGGGTGACTACCGGATTCTGGCGAGTCTGCTGACAGTACACCGTTCACCCTAGTTAGTCGTGTGACCTAAATAGTCGTGCACCGTTAAAATCATCCCACAGGTTTTTATAAAAACTCATCCCACAGGTTTTTATAAAAACTCGCAAAAAGACATCGGAATCTGATAGATCTCGACGAGCTCGTTTGCTGTGCCTTTTAATTTTGGTAGCTATTAAAAGTGGGTTTAGAGTCCAAAAAGCGTGAGGCGAAACAGAAAACCGTAAATACATGTAGGTGAACGGTGTGCGTGCTCTATCTTTTTACTAATAAGTCATCAACAGAATACAGAGTTTTCCAGCATTAAATGAAGCCTCCATGAACTGCTTCCCTGTCAAATGGCGATAGATAGACGGTGTCGTCCCAAAGCAGTTTCAAACTACTTTTTGCTGGTAAATGATTGTGACCCTTTCAGGATAGTAGGAAATTTGTAAGTGAGTGACTCATTGAATAGGACCAAAACGGCAGTTCGGTCGGATTCACTCGTAATACCTGTATCTCATTCACTTGGCTACATTCCTCTTTTTAAATTCGTTTTTGCTCTGTGCTACTTCAGCTTGAGCCACTGCCTCACTTCCGGTGATGAAGTTGACGGGCCTCGTTGACCGTGAGTCCGTAGAAGTGCTTGTAGTCCATGTAGACCAACAAGTGGTCGACGAACCAGGCATACGAATGCTCCTCGAAGAGAGCCGTGTATTGACCGTCATGGATCTCCCTGTATTCCTTGAAAAACTCCTCAATTGTCGCTCCTTCGGATTCCACGATGCGTCGTCTCAACAAGCCCGTTCCCACGCATGCCGTGTTCATGCGGCGACTACATATTGCCCTGTTGAGTCAGACAAGCGAAGATTTTGCCGGGGACGATGACTTAGCAGACCTCGTGACCGAGCCACTTCCTCGAAGCGCGCACACGCTCGAGAAGACGGAAGAGAAAAACGGAAACAAGCGCCGCCAGTGGCTCCGTAAGGTCTGCTCAGCGTACGCGGGTCCTGGCGTCCGCAGCTTCGAAACGAGCTATTTTTGCGCGACGTGCTCAAGAGTCAAGAAGGGGCGCGTTACTCTATGCAATAAGGCTCGCCGACTAGACGGTAGCGCTCTCACCTGCAACGAAGTATGGCACCAGAGCTGGCGCAACGGCATGGCTATTCCTGCTGA